TCTCTCTCTTTCTCTCTCTTTCTTTCTCTCTCTCTCTCTCTCTCTCTCTCTCTCTTTGTCTCTCTTTCGCTTTCTCTTTCTCTTTCGCTTTCTCTTTCTCTCTCTTTCTCTCTCTCTCTCAGAAAAGTCATTTTGATCAGATCATCCTTTTTTCCTTTGGTGACATGTGGGCTGCAGACAAACAAATTTTTAATTAAAATGTTTTTTAGTTTCTAAATTTCACCACTTTTCTGTCAAGAGCATTGATTGGTATTGCACATTAAACAAATCTAAATAAATGAAATACAAATATTTTACAAGTAGACAAAAATATATTCTTTGAGATTTAGAAGAGTACTACAAATTTCATACATGTAATATTGCAAATTTGAAGGTCCTACACTAATAAACAACGGTCACTAACTTTGAAATCATGGTTACAAAAGAAAAAAGTACATTGCAAACAGGCCTAGACATATACCTTAATTATTAAGAATTTATATCTATAACACTGTTCATCAGAGCCCAGCAGAGGTCAGCCAAGTTCCTTGTTCCTATCAGCAAAACACTTAAATTGACCACAAGCTTTGGGAACAAATGGGGTCTTCTTTTTGGGAATGCAACAGCTGCTCCTCCTGAGTGACTGATCCTTATGCTAAGTTCACACTGAATGCGTTTTGAGCGGCCGATTTACATGCAAGTTCTGTGGAGGACGCGCCTCTAGGGGTCGTGCGTTGCGTCACGTACGTTTTGGGCGGCGCGCAAGGAAGGCGGAAGGGGCGCAGAGCGTTTTCCGCACATGCGGTGCTGCGGAAGCCGCCAGAGTTGAAATATCTGAACTTTTCGCTGCTCGACGCATCTCCCACTGAAAACCGAAACAGACGGACTGGAGATCTTTACCTGAAATCGACCGTGTGCAGTTGGATTTTCTGGCAGGATATATCAGCACCGATGTGGATCAGCTGCTCGGGACTAAAAAAAAAGAAAAAAGTTGGTCAGCTGGCAGCTTCTGGAGTGATGAAACTAACCAAATAAATCGCCTCTAAATCATCTGGTGAGTTAATTATCTGCTGTGCGCAACATTCGCTTGGTCTTTAGTAAATAAATCAAAGCCATTTTATTTTATTTTATCTTTATTTCACCCGCAGAGGACAGACGCTCCTCCCACACCTCGCTGCTGCTGCTTGTTCTGGTCTGAACACTAGTGTGTTCTTCATTCTGAACATAGTGCGTCCAACGAGAGACGTTTTGCACTGATTGGCCGCTCAAAATGCGTTCGGTGTGAACGAAGCATTACACAACACAATTACCAGATGAATAAGCAGTAAGAGTCCCACCTCAAATAAAATGTTGAGAGTTGACACCTTCGCTAAAATTTGTTGAAAAAACTGAAATGGAGAAAGCAAAGCAGTAGCTAAAATTATCACAACTGTAGCTAAATTTAGCTAAACAAATACAAAATCCTGTGTCTGCTTGGCCTTCAGAGGAGCAGGACATGCTTTTCGCTCTCTCTTCTCCCCCCCCACCACCGCTTCGCTGCTTTTGCTTATTTGAGCTTTTTTTCACCTTCCATCCAAAACTAAAGAAATTATGGATTTGGTCCACTGGTCTCTGAATGAAATTGACACTATTTTTTCCACAGTTGGAAAAAGGGGAACGTGGCTGTCTGGGTGGAACAGTTGCTGCTGGACTTGTCTGATTCCTGGGGCTGGAATCTGATATACCAGCACCACTTTCCATCGAAGACATGGAAGATCTTTTTTATTTGGATTATGATAACTGGATTCCTGCTGATTAGCGGAGGAGGGTTCCAAATTTATCAAAAAGTGAAAGCAACCCTGACAGTGAATCGGGCCTTTGAAGAGCTGTCGGGCGCAATTGAAAGATTCTGCCAGGCTGGTAGCACACAGATGCTCATCTGGGAAAAGAATTTGCTAACTGGCTGTGATTCTGACAAGGATCACAGCTCAGGAGTGACCCTTTGGCATGTATGGATTACATCTGGGTGAGCTTCAGACAGTGAGAGGTGAGGAAGACCCCAAATTTGGCTGATTGGATTTTTTTGCCAACTCAGAGTTGCAGTTAAGACACTTCAAAAGCAGCAGGAAATTCAAGGCTGCTTTATTCCAAAATAATTGGTTTATCTATCTGGCTCCCAGCGGCACAGCCTTGAGGGCAGTGTTTATCTCCACCTCCCCAGGATGGAATGTCAACAAAGAGCTGGATTCACTCCCACCCCCATCACCCGTTTTGGACCCGGCCTAAATTTCCACAGTAACAAGTGCTCTGAAACTAACCTGGTCAGGACCAGGTTTAAAGTGAAGTTTATTTAATTTTCTAAGCAGTAGAGTCACTTTACTGCAAAAACTGTTAATCTAAGAAAGTTTTACAATCTTACATCAGCTAAAATGTATTTTGATCTTGTTTTTAGACTGATAAACTAAACAAGATCAGAAAATGTTGGATTATTAATCTTGTTAATCTGAAAAGTTTTCATTATTTCAAAAAGTCTTACCAAGTACAACTGTCAAACTGCAGATTATTAATTATTATTAATTAGAAAATATTCAGTATAATCTAGTATTCTTAACTTATTTTATATCACTAGTTTTTGCAGTATCTGATCAGAAATTTCATAGAAATATTAAATTTGTGTGTGTTGTGGGCATGAGTCTCACGTGTCTTACTGTGCATGCCTGATCAGGCTATCTTTGGTCCGCCTGATGGGTCTAGTAAATAAACAGTGAACGTGCATTAATCCTAAAAGTTTTATAGCTGCGTGAATGAGTCACCTTGATTAAGCGTGGTTTGGTGTTAGAGTGACAGATTACAGCTGTTGACAAGTTGAAAGCTTGTTCAAGCTCCGTTTACAGCTGATATCTTGAGTTTAGAAATCTGACTTTTGTGAAATTAGCTCCTGTCCTTTGAGGTTTTCTTATTGCTGTTTAGGTCAATATGTTTATTTGTATGACTGCCCCAATACTCTGGCTTCATCATATTTACACGTTAAACACCACTATGATTTTTACAATCAATCTGTTAGTGAGAGTCTTTTCAGTTATTTTTTTAATTTCAAATTTAATAATTAATTAATTCTGTAAAATAATGGATTTGAGCTAAAGTACACATTCACTTCAAAGAAGTCTAAACAATCCTGCATTTCCTTATGTTTCTGCAGGAATTGGTGGTAGACATTTTAGACATACTGTATTTGTCATATAAAATAATCATAACGACAATAAGATAAAGCAGACTGCAGACTTCTTATGAGTTTGAAAGTCAATTTTTGGTATGAACACCCTTTTTTAATAAATGCTGAAGTCATTTCTACAAGCTTTCCTGTGATTTCTTTGAGTATAGCTTAGAGAAAGCTCTTGAGGCAAGTTGAAGGAAAATTCAAAGCTCTTCATTCAATATTAGCTGCTTTTTGTTTAGAAAAAAATTCAAGAGTTTTGCTCTTTGCAAGCAAATACAGAGATGAGTAGTGACTCATAGTGTCATAGTCTGTTTATTTTGCTTTAGTTTTCCTAGTGTTTCAGTGTTTCCCCTGTGTTTCTCTGTTTATCTGCCCCGCCCTCTACCCCTAATTTTGATGGTCACAATGGAAAAGGGGTGTGGTCACAAAGTGGTCCCTGGGGGGTAGTGAGACCCAACTTTTTCCTGTTAACATGCCTTTTTTTGAAAGAGGGGAGCTTAAGGTACATGAAAACACCTGAGAAGTTCAGAAGTGTGGTGTGCATGGTGACCCACCCTAATCTACAGACTAAAAAATATGAAAATTTGCATCTTCTTTTGGGGTTGTGACCCTTTGATCCCCCAATGACATCATCAAGCACATATTTGCTTAATGAAATGTTATCAGCTAATCACAACTAATCAACACGAATCTGCTGATACCTTGTTTTTAAACTTTGGTTGGCTTATGGCAAAGTTATTGGCATTTAAGTTTTCTATACTCCTAATTTTGATGGTCACAATGGAAAAAGGGCGTGGCCAAAAAAGGGTCACTGGGGGGCAGTGAGACCCATTTTTTTCTGTTACCATGCATTTTCTGAAAGAGTGGAGGGAATATGAAAATACAAGAGAAATTCAGTAGTGAGGGCGGGGG